CGCTGTGAAACTGGGGGAGTCCTCCCCTCCTGACCCTGCACAACCATCTTTTGGGGACACTGGTTCACCACTGTGGACTCTGTGCGTGTCCACCTGGTACGAGAAGCTGCAGGTACCAGAACGCGGGTTTATTCTTCTGTGGTGATGGTAATTCCTCTTCTGAATTTTCCCTTAAGTCCCCATGGGACAGAGGGTCACAAACTTTAGGGGGTAAAGTGGGACTGGCTAGGCATCCTGTCCTAGTCCCCTGGGAGCTGATAGAGAAAATTGATGTCAGTGTCCTTTTAATGCTTAATTCCGAAAGTTTCTTTTTGAAATTTTAACTCGTTCCTACAACACCTATTTATCGAGCACCTACAATGTGCCAGGTGGTAGAAGCCCGTGTGGGAAGAGGCCTATTAATCAAGGAGGGGCAGCCCTGATGTTAAATGTCCCTTCCCAGCCTGGTTCACAGGTTGTTTTTTTTAACAGATTTGTCAGGTCACCCCTGTGACCCCAAGCCTCGCTGGCAGACTGTTCCATAGTATTTATATTTACCGAGCGGCACACTATCATGAAGGCAACTAAAAAGCCTGCGATCTCAGCTCGTTCCCAGCGCGGAGACTGGCCCTTGCGGCTTCACACAGCCTTGAAATGACAGCCGCCACTTGCAGAGCGCCAGCTGCTCCCCAGCGCTCTCCGAGCGCTTTGCGCGTTCCCCCCTCGGCTCTTCCTCACTCTGGAGGACGGTACTGTCATCATTCCCATTGTACAGGTGAGGAAACTGAGGCCCAGAGAGCGAAGTGGCTGAGTCAAGATTTGGACTCAGGTCTGCGTGACCCCCCTCCCTCCCCAAGCCCGTGAGCTCACTGCCCTGAGTGCTGGTCCCCTTCCTGAGCCCGTCCCAAGGCAACTGCTAGTTCAAGGGCAAGCCCAAGTCAGGGGCGGCGCAGGGAGCAGGGAAGCCTGGCTTAGGTCCACTGTGAGTAGTGTTGCATTTGGGGACATTGCGAGGGCAGGCTGGATGGTCTAGCTGGGGTTTTATGTATTTGTCCCCTGCCCTTTGTGTTCCTGGCTTCTACAAGGTCCCTGGGAGGAGCATCTCATTTGCAAACAGGGCCTGTTTGACTTACTTCCTAGGACACGGGAAGCTTTTCTTACCTCCTTCCTGTCCCCTCCCCCACCCGATCCCCAAGTTCCTCCCAAGGTCATTTGCACTATGAGCGCCCAGGAGCCCGTGTGTGTGGTGGGGATGGCTGTGGGGTGTTTGGAACCTCGGTGAGGCCTCTGGCTCAGCCGGAGAGGCAATAAACTTGGGGACGTTCCGTTCTGGGTTCTGACCTTGCTGGTTCGTTTGCTCTTTTGTAAGAGGAGTTTCGTACCTTGGAGACGCTTTGTACATATTTGTAACGACTTTATTAAAAAACTGGTTGTGCACTTCCAGCTAAAGGTCTCTGCGTTTTCATTTCCTTGTGGAAGGCGGGTCCCCAAAGGCTATGGGAGGATCCGGCTGCACGCCCCACCCTTCCCTGGGGCAGAAGGTCACACAGTCACCTCCTTCCTCTGTGTCATATTCCTGAGAACCCCGCAAGGTGAGGGTTGGCCTAAACAGTTCCCTTGGGCTGGGCGGTGGGTTGGGGGAACATGCCCAACAGTTCAAGTTCAAGGTCGGGCACGAAGCCATCACCTATGCATGTTGGGCCACTGGCGGGGGTCCTTTCACCTGCATGTCCATGATCTGAGTGAGATGTCCCCAGAGACCAAGTTCTAGTCTCTTCCTAGGAATACTGGGGTTGAGGGTTGAGTTGGTTTTCATGTAATTGCAACCAAAAAAGTTCTGCCTGATGATGTGTTTTGTGGTGGCTTCATAATGTTGCCCCGAGGCATGAACTGTCACCTAATGCTATCACAGTTGATCCTGGAACAACTTGGGTTTGAACGGAGCGGGTCTACTTACACGCAGGTTTTTTTCAATACTGTAAATGTATTTTCCTTATGATTTTCTTAATAACATTTTTTTTCTGGCTTATTTTATTGTAAGAATACAGTATATAGTACATATAACAGACAAAATATGTGTTCATTGACTGTTATCAGTAAGGCTTCTGGTCAATGGTAGGCTATTAGTAGTTAAGTGTTGGGAGAGTCAAAAGTTATATGTAGATTTTTTGAGTGCATGGGTGCCCAACCCCATGCTGCTCAAAGGTCAACTGTAATTTCCATTTTAAATATCCTTCATAATCTGGCACCTGAAAAACCCTTCTCAAATCAGCCTGTATGTTCTGGGTCCAAACAACCTATGGTTAACCACTGTCCTGGGCACTGCAGGCGCCACACCGTGTCCCTTCTACCAGTTCTGTGTTCCATCCTGTACCTGTGTGTGCTCTGTGGCACCCCCCAAACCGTGGGACCCCGCTGAGCTGCAGCTTTTCGGAGAGGTCCCCTCTTGCTTGGCCTCCCCCCTTCCCTCTCCTGTCCCGCTCACTCCCTTGCTGGCTTCTCCTGGAAGCGCTTCTTTGCATTTCTCCCCAAACGGTTCCACCCGGCTTCAAGAGGCGACAGGAGACTCAAGACCACGAACGTAAGTTTGGTCGACAGATGATATTTATTGGCAGAAGGGAACTTAGGGGGACATTAGAAACACCAGAGGCGGCTCTGTTTGGCCCGAAGAATTCCATGTCCCCTTTACATGTCCTCTGTCGCACCGGAGTCTTGGCAGCCTGGAGGTCTCCCGGTGCCCCTCACTCTCTTCAGGAGGTGACGATCTGTTCCACCCAGGCCCAAAGCTTGCCTTTTCATTCCCTCACACTTACGATGCCCAAGAGGTTCTATGTTAAGAGGGCCATTTCCAAGGACTTCATGGGACTCGAGTCAGTGAATCAGAAAATACTAGGAGCAGGGTACTCCAATCTGATACCTGATTAATTCTGCTCCTAACAGATGAATTGCAGAACCAACATGGGTAAAGGAGAGTAGCACTGTCCTTTTGCAACAGTGGCTCTTGGTGGCCTTAACACTTGCGTTGGGGAATACATCTGGCTTGGCATTTGGAAAACCCTGTACTGGCCACTCTGCCTCCCTAGAGCAGAAGTGAAATTCTTCTACCAGAAAGGAGACCTCCAGGCAGGACTTTGCCTGGAGGGCAGGGGAAGAATAAATAAAACCCTATGCTAAATCATCCCCCCGCCACCCAGTGTCCCCAACATGTGACACTTTTTTTTTAAGTTTTTTTTAATTAGTTTTTAGAGAAAGAGGCAGGGAGAGGGAGAGAGAGGGAAACACCGATGTGAGAGCAAAACATCGATCTGTTGCCTCCTGCATGCCTCCCCACCAGGGATCAGTCTGCAACTGGGCATGTGCCCTGACCTGGAATCAAGCCAGCAACCTTTTGGTATATGGGATGATTCCCAACCAACTGAGCCACACCAGCCAGGGCCACATGTGACGCTCTTTATAGTGTCAGAGGCATGGCTTGTTATTTGCAGACTGTCACAGAATTTTTGTGTGTGCGCGGGACCAGAGTAGCTAACAAAACCATCGGTGTATTCGCCAGCAATCAACATCGTTAGTTCCCCTGGTTCCAGCAGATGACACACTAGGTTTCATCACCCTGGAGATGACTTCAAGGAGGTGAAGCGATTTCCCAAAGTCATGCAGAGTTTAGAAAATAAACTAACAAACAAAATAGAAACAGGCTCACAGACAGAGAACAGACTGACAGCTGTCAGAGGGGAGGGGGGTTGGGGGCTGGGTGAAAAAGGTGAAGGGATTAGCTAAAAACAACAACTCATAGACACAGGCAAAAGCATGGTGATTACCAGAGGGAAAGGGGGGTGGGGGAGGTAGGAGAGGGTAGAGGGGCGGTAAATGGCGTTGGAAGACCTGACCTGGGGTGGTGAACACACGATACAATATACAGATGATGTGTTCTAAAATTGTACATCTGAAACCTGTATAATTTTATTAACCAATGTCACCCAATAAATTAAAAAAACACAAAATTAAATAAATAAAAAATCAGGATTCCAGGCCTGACTCCCAACAGACTGCTCTACCTGCTCCATCACATGCAGCAACTTTAATAAGTCTTCTCCAGCTCGTTTCTCGGGCCTCTCTGAGGGCATCTGCAGGCAGGGAGATCTTTGTGACAAAAACCAGTTGCAGAAGCTTGTGTCCCTTCCCTTTGGTTCTTCCTCAAGGCGGGGGGGAACAAAGAAGCCGCGTCCACTGGGCTCTGTTTCCCTCCACTTTCCTTTCCGACTTGATCATCCAGACAAGTGGGATTGTAACATCGCGGCCATTGCCATAGAAACAGAGCTTGAAAGGTGCCACGCAACCCTGGAAGGGATGTCTTGCTGGGTACCAGGAAAGAGCCAGGGCCATCGTGGGAAAGAAAAGGTCCTGGTTCCATAGCGCCCAGGGGCAAACGTCCTGAATCTCCTGGGGACGGGGTGGGTGCTAACGCTGGCCGGGGGCAAGGCGACAGCCAGGCTCCCACCATCTCCCCTGCGGCTTTCTTGCTAATCTGCTCACTAGCTACCTAGATTGCTTTTTCCAAAATGCCGCTGGCACCAGCCCATTGTGCTGAGGTCGATGGCAATGAGAATAGGTTTGTGAGAAGGGTAGGACACACAAGATTCCAGTGGCTCCTATGTGATGACCTGTGCCACCTCCCAGACTGCAAAGCAGTGAGGGAAGGGGTTCCAATATAGAGATTAGTAGCTCTGACACAGGATCATAGGAACACGGATCGCTACTGTGCTCTCTGCCACCACCNCAGACTGACAGCTGTCAGAGGGGAGGGGGGTTGGGGGCTGGGTGAAAAAGGTGAAGGGATTAGCTAAAAACAACAACTCATAGACACAGGCAAAAGCATGGTGATTACCAGAGGGAAAGGGGGGTGGGGGAGGTAGGAGAGGGTAGAGGGGCGGTAAATGGCGTTGGAAGACCTGACCTGGGGTGGTGAACACACGATACAATATACAGATGATGTGTTCTAAAATTGTACATCTGAAACCTGTATAATTTTATTAACCAATGTCACCCAATAAATTAAAAAAACACAAAATTAAATAAATAAAAAATCAGGATTCCAGGCCTGACTCCCAACAGACTGCTCTACCTGCTCCATCACATGCAGCAACTTTAATAAGTCTTCTCCAGCTCGTTTCTCGGGCCTCTCTGAGGGCATCTGCAGGCAGGGAGATCTTTGTGACAAAAACCAGTTGCAGAAGCTTGTGTCCCTTCCCTTTGGTTCTTCCTCAAGGCGGGGGGGAACAAAGAAGCCGCGTCCACTGGGCTCTGTTTCCCTCCACTTTCCTTTCCGACTTGATCATCCAGACAAGTGGGATTGTAACATCGCGGCCATTGCCATAGAAACAGAGCTTGAAAGGTGCCACGCAACCCTGGAAGGGATGTCTTGCTGGGTACCAGGAAAGAGCCAGGGCCATCGTGGGAAAGAAAAGGTCCTGGTTCCATAGCGCCCAGGGGCAAACGTCCTGAATCTCCTGGGGACGGGGTGGGTGCTAACGCTGGCCGGGGGCAAGGCGACAGCCAGGCTCCCACCATCTCCCCTGCGGCTTTCTTGCTAATCTGCTCACTAGCTACCTAGATTGCTTTTTCCAAAATGCCGCTGGCACCAGCCCATTGTGCTGAGGTCGATGGCAATGAGAATAGGTTTGTGAGAAGGGTAGGACACACAAGATTCCAGTGGCTCCTATGTGATGACCTGTGCCACCTCCCAGACTGCAAAGCAGTGAGGGAAGGGGTTCCAATATAGAGATTAGTAGCTCTGACACAGGATCATAGGAACACGGATCGCTACTGTGCTCTCTGCCACCACCCTAGCTTGTGGACAAATCCACAACATGGACTGTCCCTCCTGCTCTGCAGGCTACCAGGGGAGAGGTAATGTCCACAGAGGCTACTGAGGGAGGGGACAAGAACAGGAGGAAGAGAAGACAATATAGATGGGTGTGGAGACCCAGTGGTATCTGCATCCGGGCCAAAGCTGGCCTTTCTTAGTGCCCACACATGATTGAGCATCCCAGCCCAGAGCTCGGGGGAAAAAAGAAATTTCAGGACCAAGTCTTCCGGTGGACTCAACCACAACTAGGTTTCTGGAGGTAGGGTTCACCCTTAGCCTTCGCAACGCAGTCCAAATTAAATAAGCTATGCACCCGGGCCACCCTCGCGCATCCAAATCACCTCTTGTGGTTTTAAAAAACTCATCTGCCGGGCCCCGCGCCTGCACTGTCTGAGCAGAGGGTCAGCATAGTGGGTGAGTGCAGGCTCTGAAGCCAGACGGGCCTGGGCTGGAAACTCAGCCCACCACAGCTAGCCGGGTGACCCTGCCATCATTACCACATCGAGTTCTGTGCCTCAGTCTCCTCAGCTGTCATCCAGGATGCCTGGCTCACTCTAGGTGGGGCCCGGCAAGATTTCACAACGATCCTAATCTGCAGGCCTGGGCCCCTGCGGGCAGGCAGCAATCTCTAGGCCCCTCCCCAGTTTGCAGCATCAGGTACTTGGTTCCCTTAAGTTAAAATAACCAGCAGGAGGGACTTTGCCTATTCCTGGTTCCTTGACTTGGAGGAGGTGGGAGACCTGCCTGGGCAGAGGCCGAGTCTGGGTTAGGAGGCTCCCCTATTTGTAGGGAAGGACACACGCACTATGCCACGGAACAAGAGATGAAGGTGCAGGTGCAGGGGACAGGGGCCTGGCTTCAGGGAAAGAGAGGGAGAAAGGCAGGAGGCAGGACATGAAGCGCTTGTGGCCAGTTTTCCAGGAAGTCCCCAGAGCTGGACCCGGCGACACTGACCCTCCGTCATCTCCCTGGGCGTGCTGGAGCTTCAGCCCTAATACACCTGGAAGTGTGCCGAGGTGGCCCCGTCCTTCCAGCAGCGCAGGGTGTCCACGGCGACGGAGCGGCAGAGCGGGCAGGTGCGCTCTCGATCCAGCCAGAGGCAGAGGCACTCCTCACAGAACACGTGCTGTGGGGACAGCAATCGGTGCCACCAGGATGCTTTACGGGGTGCCCACTAGCTGCCCACCTCGGTCCTAGGAGCTGGAGACTGAGCAGCGCACAAAACAAACAATTCCTGCCCTCCCAAAGCTTGCACTCTAGTTGGGGAGACAACCTCGCTCCTTGACTATCTCGCTGACAACTGGGATAAGTGCCATGAAGGGCTTATCCCACAGGGATCTATGAGGCCGTATGGCCAGGAGCACTAACTAATCTTGAGAAACAGAATCAGGGAAGCCTTTATTAAAAAAGAAACATTAGATTCCTACATTCAGTGCACTCTGGAATTAACAAGGCCCTTTCACTGGTGGAAGTCACCTCTGCTACTCCCAGCCCGGCTCATAGCAGCAAAGCAAGACTGAGACCTGTGCTCTGCCTGGCCATGCCTGTGGGCTCCAACCACCACTGGTGTGGCTCCTTGATCTGGGACAACAGTGTCTTATCCGACCCCTCCGAAGAATTCGAATCCAACTATGAGAAGGCGGCATGGTTCCAGGAGACAGACAAACAGCCTAAGGCTAGGAGAGATTGCCAGAAAGGAAGGAGGAAGCCTTCCACCTTGATACCACGTTCAAACACTCGCTGCTACTAAGAAGGAAATACAGATGGCTCGGAGGCATCTGAAAAGATGCTCATAATTAGGGAGATGCAAATTAAAACTGCACTGAGACGGCGTTTGTCACCTGTCAGATCGGCAAAGCTCAGAAAAGGCTCGAGAACGCAGCGAGTTGGCCAGGGAGGGAGCAAGGGGTCGCGGGGCGCCCGGCACTGGGAGCATAAGCAGGTAAGTAAATGATCGGTTGCTCAATGCCCATCGAGAAGAGAAAGGTTAAACAAACTGGGGTCTGTCCCAAAGACGGGGTGACAGGCAAATAAGGGGCAATTTCTTAAGACAGAGTTGCAAGTCCAAAAGGGAAGGCGCAGGATGCAGCACGGGTGGAATATGCTACAACTTACGTCTTTTTGAAAAAGACATGTTCGTGTGTGTCTATGTATGTTTACAAAGGATCTCGAGGAAGATAAAGGAAACTGGCCACAATAATGGTCTGTGTGGAGGTTGGGGGACTAGGGAGCCGGGGATGAGGGTAGGAGACCTGCCGCCACTTCCCTTTGTATATCTTTAAAACATATTTTAAAATAAAATATTTCATTTTGGAATAATTTTAGACTCACAGGAAAGTCGCAAGGAGTACAGGAAGTCCTCATGCACCTCTCACGCAGTTTCCGTTTCCCCTAATGTTACCTGGTATCTCCACGGCGCACTTCGCAAAGCTAAGAGACCCCACTTGACCACTGACTAAACCCCGGGCTTGATTAGGATTTCATCAGACTGCTTTTCCTCCTCATGTCCTCTCTCTGTTCCAGAACCCAGCCTGGGTCCCACATGGCATTCAGCTGTCACGACTCCTCGCTCATGAATTCCTTAGTCTGAATCTTGGATCGTACAAACATATTCTCAATTTTAAAATATAGAAAATTAAAAAATGAAAACCAAACCTGCTATAATCCCCAAACAGCAAAAAAAAATTAAAAAAAATTTGCCGATGCCAGAAAGGACCCCACCTCCCATCTTCTCACCCCTGGAAGGTGGTGGCGGTGGGGGAGCCATATGCTCTCAATTCCTCCTAGTCTGCAAGCTGTGCCTCCTCCCCAAAGCCTTTCCAACCTCCAGCTCATCGCTATCTGCCCCGTCCCCCGGGATGCTGCATGAATCTCTCTTACACAGCACTTATCACCGCCTGCCTTGTTTCATAGTTATTTATGTATATGTCTGTCTCCCCAGGGAGACTGCGAGCTTCCAGAGGAGGGGACAGGGTTTGTGTGCCCTCCGCCTCCCTCCCTGGTGCCTGATAGGACGCTCGACTCAAGCGTATTTGCTGAATTGACATCTTAGCCCCTGATGTGGGGAGGAGGAGGGGGAGGGGACGGAGGGGGAGGAGAGGGGATACATTTAGGAAGTTAAAAGGGACTAACCAGTACTTATTGCTCTGGGTTGGTGACCCACAACTAATAATAATGAAAACAAGTGGTAATAATTATGATGTTAATTATATAAGAGCAACTTTTATGGCTAAAAAATTCAAATTTAGCTCTTTGCAGAGATGTTCTCATTTAATCATAATACTAACTCTATGAGATAGGTATTATTGATACCCATTTTATAAATGAAAAATATTAAGGCTCAGGGAGATGGAGTGACCCACCCAGGGTCCAGAGCACTGCTGGGTTTCACAAATGGGATATTCTGACACTACACCATACTGACTTTTTCATTTTCGACACTGAAACTGAGGTTCAGAGAGGTGAAGTAACCTGCCCAAGGTCACCCAGCTGATGAGAGACACAGCTGAGATTTGAACCCAGATCAGACTGACTCCAGTCTGGACAACACTGTTCTCAAAGATCCATCTCAGAGCCCCAAGGTTTGGTCAAGGGACAGGCACTTGAGACTTGCATGGGGTGGCACCTGCCGGTCCCTCAGCCTCAGTCTCTGACGCCCCTGCCGGGCCCTGCTCACCTGGCACATAAGGATCAGAGGCTCCCGGAACTCGGCCTGGCAGATGGCACAGATATCACCAGCCTCCGTGCACTGCTGCCCAGTGGCCCGGACTCCGTAATTCTGTTTGCGGGAGGGGAGAGAGACAAACACAGCTGTGACCCCCACTGGAGCGATACCCTGAGAAGCATGACGAGAACTGTTTCTAGCTCCAGGCCCCTAGTTCCTGTGACTGGCCGGAGCCACAGAAAGCCGACTCACCTGAGAGGTGCAAAGGAGCTTCAGCGCTTTCCTAACTCCACCCACGCGGCCGCAGATGTCGAAGGACTGAAAGGAGAGCAGGGTGATGGTTGAAAAGCATCCAGGGACTGTATAGGATCTCTCTCGCCACTCCCGCACACCCCCCATTCCCCCCTTGTCTTTGCCCCTGAGCATTTTCATGGCACTTTGTCCCATCTGAAACTCCTCCTTCCCACCAGTTCTGCTTGGCTTGGGTCTTCCTGCCTTACGCCAACAGCCTCCCCTGTACCAGGGCCAGGAGAGCAAATACATGGCATGCACTCTGCCTTTCTCCCTCCCAAGCCCAGGGCAGGCATTGCTAATCGATCACAGCACTCTTCATCGGAGCCCGGCCAGGGCCTGACACTCCAGTCAGCCCCTTGCAGTCGATCAGGGTCAGCAGGCAAGATAAGCCCCAGGGGCTGACACTGCATGGGCTGCTTGGCTAGTCCTGCTGGGAGGAAGGACAGAGAAGGAAAGAGACAGAGGGGGGATGTACTTATCCTGAGGGGGAAACTGATTTGTACTAATGATGAAAAGAGATGCCCCGCATACTGATTTGCAGAGTGGCGGCGTGGTCTGTGGGTCGGGAGGCAGGCGGCCTGGGTTTGACACTCATGCTGTTATCTCCAGCCTAGTGACCCTGGGCAAGTTACTTCTCTCTGAGCCTCAGTTTCCTCGCCTACAAAATGAGAGTAACGATGTTATGTACCTTGAAGGGTTGTTGTGAAGATTATGCAAAAGGCTAGCATATGGTGAGCTTTATGGACAAAAGAATTAGGGTGGATTTTACCATGAAAAACAGTGAAGTCCTGACACTGGCTGCAGTGCGGAGGAGCCTTAGAAACGTGACGCTCAGTGAGAGACGCCAGACGCACAAGGTCGCATACTGTTTGAGTCCATTTATATGAAGTGTCCAGAACAGGCAAATCCACACAGACAGAAAGAAGACTAGTGATTCCAGGGACTGGGGCGGGGAGGGTGTTTGGGGTAATGAAAATGTCTTAGAACCAGGCAGGGGTGGTGGTTGTGCAACATCGTTAATCTGCTACGGGTCACTGAATTTTGTGTTGTGTGAATTTTACCTCAATTTGAAAGAGAGCCCTGGCCGGTTTGGCTCAGCGGTTTGAGCGTCGGCCTGTGGACTGAAGGGTCCCAGGTTTGATTCCAGCCAAGGGCACGTACCTTGGTTGCAGGCTCGATCTCTGGCCCCAGGAGAGGCAACCAATGGATGTGTCTCTCTCACATTGATGTTTCTCTCTCTCTCTCTCTCTCTCTCCCCCTTCCACTCTCTCTGAAAAGCAATGGAAAAAAATATCCTTGGGTGAGGGTTAAAAAAATAAATAAATAGAGAGAGATGAGGGTGTCATTCCAAGCTCTCCACTTGCCCCCCTGGGGGCCCCCCAGGCCCAGCAAGTCGGCCAGCCCTCCGCCTCCCACCCCCTCACCTTGCAGAGGCTGTAGAGGACCATCAGGACCCCTCCCAGAAAGTAGCTGTTGGAGGAATCGTCGCCCATGATGTATTTATACCACAGCTGGATGGGGACAAGCGATCGGAACAGCTGGCTCAACTCCTCGATGACCAGATAGAACTTTCCCTGCAACCACACAGAAAGCATCAATTATTATTAGCAGTAAAGACCCAAAGGACCCAGCCGAGGGGGCCCCCAGCCCGGGCAGTAATGACATTCCAGGTCACAGGCAGGCCATTAATCAGCTTTGGAAAGCACTCAGGCCCGCTCCTAATGGGCCTGAGATATGACCGGGGAGACGTGGCCCCTGCCCGCTGCCCTCACCCGCTGCCCACCAGCCCAGAAGATCAGAGCTCCGCGGATCACGTTTCAGGGAGGGAGAAACCAGACACCTTGGGCAGAGAGCTGGAGGGTGGGTCACTCCCTGGTGCCTGCTGTGGCTTTGAGGGCTCAAAGCCAAATATGGGGGCACAGCCCCTGCCCCTGCACACAGATCACCCTCATCTCTCGAGGGCTGACCCCAGGCATCACGGGACCACCCTCAGAGGCATGGGCAGGATGGACCACAGGATGCAGGTAAGGGCAGGCCAAGAGGTGGACAGGTAAAAGATTTGTATTTTCCTTCCCAGCTCCATCATCTGCTGTCTCCAAGGAGACAGGATAATATCTGATGAAAGAGCATGGACTTGGGGACTCAGGGCCAGGTGTGAATCTTATCTTGCTGAATGTTCATGAGCCTCAGTTTCAGCATCTACTGGATGGGAGTCACAACTCCCACCTTATGGGGTTGCTCTGAGGATTAAAGGCAATAAACACGGAACACACCTAGCACTGTGCCAGGCACAGAGCGATGCTCAACAATTCTATTTCCCTTCCTCCCTTTGCCCTTGGACAAGGCCCCCAAGCTTTCAGTGGCCTGTGCTATAAAAAGGAGCTGAAAATAAACCCATCCCTGTCCTGTCTAATAAAGTTAAACTCGTATCTACTTATAACCCAGCAAATCCACTCCTAGGCGTGTACCCGAGAGAAATGAGAACATATGTCCACTTGTACGCTAATGGTCATAGCAGCTTTATCTGTAATATCCCCAAACTGGGAACAACCTGAATGTCCATCAATGGGAGAGCGGATAAACAGACTGGTATATTAATACGACAGGATACCACTCAGCAATAAAAACGAACAAATGGCGATACACACAACATGGATGAATGTCACAGACATTAGGTTGAACCAAAGGAGTTACAGGAGAGAGCATACTGTATAATTCTGACTTACAGGGAGTCCTAGAGTAGGCAGCACTAACCTGTAGTGACAGAAATCAGGTCAGTGGTTGCCTGGGCTGAGGCGGGGGAGACTGGCTACGAGGCGGCATCAAGGAACTTTGGGGAGTGATAGGAATATGTTATCTCCTGATTGGGACGGTGGTTACACAGATGTATACATTTGCCAGAAGAATATATGCTTCAAATCTGGGCATTTTACTGTATTTAAATTATACCTCAATAAAACTGATTGAAACAAACGAACAAACATAGAAACAAACAGCCCTGCCCCAGGCATGCATAGCCTTAAAGATGTAAACATTCTTTGCTCTAGCAATTCTACTTCTAGGAATTTATCCTAAGAAAATAATCGGAGATGTGTGCTAAGATGTGCCAATAGGACTGGCCAGTGTAGCATTCTGTGGAACAGTACAAACCAAAACCAGTTACAATCTAGACGGTCTGATTTTAGTAGAGATCTCTGATGGAAAGCCAACAGCCATTCATATATCATCCTCAAAAATAGGCACTTCACAGTGAAGAAACCCAGCACATAGCGCAGTTACCGAGAGGTCAAGGTTAACATCCCCAGTAATAAATCAACCTGACAACCTGAACCCCCTGATAGGATGCATGGGAAGGACACAGTATCCCTTCTGTGGTATTCTGGTCAAAGACTCATAACCTCAATAGAATCATGAGAAAACATGAGACAAATCCAAATTGAGGGACATTCTAAAGAATAAGTGTCCAGCCTCTTCCAAAGTGACAAGGTCACAAAAGACAAAGAGAAGACCAAGGGATTGTCAGATAGGAAACGATTAAGGAGACGTGATAAAATAAATGCAATGTGGGATCTTGGATTTGATCCTGGGCAAGTAAAAAGATGTGAGTGGGACAGTTGGCAAAATCTGAGTAAGGTCTCCTTATCTAAATTAGGTGCTCCTGTTACACCCTCAAACCACTCCTTTAGAGCACTTCTCACAATATGTAAAAATTATTTTTGTATCTGTCCCACTGGACCCTGAGCCCCACAAGCACAAAAATTATCTGGCCGTATCCCCAGCATCTAGTACATAGTAGGTGCTCATTTAGAAACTGGGGACCTCTGAAGCTAAAGATCCTACCCTCACTCCTCCCATCAACTTCCTAGAGTTTGCTGATGAAGGAGAGCTGGAACATCAAAGAGAGAATGTCTCTTTGTAAGCCAGCGCCAATGTCACAGAAAATAAAGGGAGTGACTGCCTGTGTAGCATCATGCTAAAGGTAGCAATTAGCTATGGGGCGGGGGGGCCACTTGGAGAGGGAGATAAAACCACCATGGGAAAACTGGGCATATCCCAGTGAAACCATCTCTCTCTAATTAAGCAGTTTTATAATTTCAGGTTTCTTAAGCATGTTATTTCTGACGACCACCAAACGGAACACGTGGTTTCTCCGGGGTGTCGGAGAACCAGCAAAGCGATCAGATGAGGGGCTGTCTGGCCTCCCTGGCACCCTTGAAGGGGGGACGGGCCTGGGGTACCGAGAGTCCTCTACCCTGGGATTCTGCTAAAGGGGGCGGGAGCAGTCAAGGCGGGAAGGCAGATTCTATTCTGACTTCCTCACTGCTGGGAGGCGGGGTGGGACACAAAGTGAGATGGGAAATGGGGAAACAGCAGAGGGCTGGCTCTGGAAGGGGGTGGTAAATGAGGAGAGTGCGATGCTGAGAAACAGACAAAATGAACAGAGAAGGAGAATTTCTGAGGACGTGCCTACATGGGAAAGGTGATTTGAAGAACGGGGGTGAGCAGCAAGGGAGGGGAGACATAATCAGATCACGGTTAGCAGCGTAAATGGATAAAGAATGGAGAGACGGCGATGGATGAAATATTTTTTCTGCATCAAGATTAATAATGAATATTTACATAGCTTTGCCTGTTTATGAATCTCTTTCATATACATTTTCTCAGAAGCAGGGCAGCACAGTGGTTAAGGGCATAAGATTTGGGGCCCCACCTACTAAAACTGGTTGATTCTGGACAAAAATTTAACTGCTCTGAGCCTCAGTTTCCTCATCTGTAAATGGGACACACATACAAACACACATGTGCTGGCAAACCAGCTCTCTGGAAAACAACAAAAAAGGGCCATGATTTGTGTGATTACCAATTTCTCTGGTGTAAATACTCCCACAAGGCCAATTTCAAGCTACCAAGGGTTTAACAACTGCTTGCAAGTTTTCTGAAAAATTTAACCATCGGCTCTCACAAGCCAGGGTAACCTGGCTCCAAAACACTAATCTTTTTAGTTATTGAAGTTATTGGCTTATTACAATTTTAACTAATACAAAGGGTTTGGCATCCAGTACGTGATCAATAAGTGTTTGTTGAATGAATGAATCAATGAATGAGGGAACTTTTGACTAGGTTTTCTACAGGTGTGGCTCATACAGAACCCTGATGCCAAAGGTGCTAGTAACCAAGGGTCTGCATATAAGAAAGTGTTTATAAAATGATGAGGCAAGGAGAGAGGAAGGGAGTTTGTCCAGTAACTGCTGGGTTGGGCACAAGAGCACAATGGGAGAGACATGCAATGCAGCAGGAAGCATTGTGGGTCCCAGTTCCTCCTCTTCCAAGCTGTAAGGCCCTGGAGTCTGAGCAAGTAAAATGATACAGAATATGGATTTGGAGCCAGATGACCTGGGTTTGAATTCTGTCTCTTACTGAGTGACCTGGGGCAAATTACTTCACCTCTCTATACCTCAGTTTCCTGTTGGTAAAATTGGGATAATGCTCGTACCTACCTCACAGGGCTCCTAGAAGAACAAATTAGCTAATGCACGTAAAGTGCTGAGTTCAGTGCCTGACACGTGGGAAGGACTGCTGCCCCTGCTAGCAGCCTGACAAGTATAAAACATCTTACAGACAAAATAATGAATTACACTTGATTAAATAGGATGGCAGCGGACCAGGGAGGCGGAATGGAAAGGAATTGATTTTTATATGTGTAATGTGAAACAATAATAAAAGCGTGCAGTTTGAAGTCAGATAGCTAGGTGTGCATCCTTCCTAGCTGTGTGGTCTTGGGCAGGTGGTTCTCCCTCTCTGGGCCTCCGCGTTCTGTTTTGCGATGGGAGTGTTACCCAGTTCTGACATCCTGGGCCTCTGAGCGCTGGTGTAAGAACGATTGGCATAGGGGTCTGTATTAGTGTCTCTTTCGGTGGTGAGTGACGGAAAGCTAACATGAAACAGGTTACGTAAAGAACAGATGTGCTGGGTCCCAAAGTCGGAGACCCCGTTCTTTCTTTGGCCCTTTTACCAAACGGAATGGCAAGACTCCCAGGCCCTGCTAGAGTCCAGCCTCCAACCCTCGTAACCAAATTCACAGGCCAAGCACAGCCATGGAGTTCTATGATTGGTCGGGCCTGGTCACGTGGCCAGAGGGGTGGGCGGGGCGCCATAACTGACAGCGTCATCACAATCCCTGGGAAAGGGGGAGACAGCCCCCCCCCCCAAGAAAAGGAAGCCGGAAAGTTGCTTTGAACCAAAGCACTAAAACAAAGGGAATTGTCGCAGCAAAGCCCTCGGTTGCATACGCAGGAACTGCCTTCCAGCCTCCGGGGGGGGGAGGGGGTCCCTCTTTTGCTTTTCTTCCCCCCAGGACTGTTCCTTAGCTCCCACCTCCAAAGGGGACAGGGCCACACTTCTGGCTCCGAAATGGGCGGGCTGGGCAGGAGCAAGGGGCTGCAAACAAAGACTTGTTTTCCTGGGCAGGCGGCCTGCGGGTCTGTTAAGGATCGTAGGCCGCGCGGGGCACCGCAGCTGGCAGAGCCCCGCAGAACAAAACAGCTGGAGCTGCGACCTCGGCGGTGCTGGGCCC